CCTGGTGCTCCTCCTCCTCCTTCTCCTCCTCAATCATCCTCCTCCTCTTCCTCCTCCTCCTCCTCTTCCTCCTCCTCCTCTTCCTCCTCCGCCTCCTCCTCCATCCACCATTATCCGTCCTCGAACCTCGATCCTCCATCCTCCATCCTCAACCCTCCATCTCCCCCCATCCTCCTCCATCCTCTTACATCCTCCTTTGTCCTCCTCCATCCTCCTCCATTCTCCTCTTCCTCCTCCATCTTCCTCCATCCTCACCTTTCCCTCCCCCTGCTCCGTCCATGTTCGTGACGGATAACTCCTCCATGCCGCACCCCCGGACGTGCTGTTAGGGCGGGCCGGGCGTTTCGCCTGAGACTTCCCCGCCAGCTATGACCATGAAGCTTGAGACTTGCAACAATTTCACGGATGGAGGGCGGGTGCCTTAAGAAATGTGACGCAGGCTCCCGAATGAACCCTCACAACCCTGAGTTGCGAGGCAGTTGCGACTAGAATCGATTCATCCAACGCTGGGGAGCCTTCATCTGTGTTTCACAATGGTTTGCAAATATGTCTCACCGCGTCGCGCGCTTCGCGCGCAACATGGTCACGATTTGAAAATATTGCACGTTTTATTTCGCACGCGACTGAAAAATACGGTCAATATCGTAAACCGCCTCGCGCGCTTCGCGCGGGGTTGTAAATATTGGAAGCTGTTTTGAACACGGAGCGCGCGAAAAGGTTTACAATTTTGGTTTGTAGATTTAGAAATCCCTAGATCGTTGAGTGAACCAGTCTTACTCGCGGTTTCCTTGCAACTCAGGACTGTCAGGGTTCATTCAGGAGCCTGCGTCTGTGCTTCACAATAACTTGCAAAGACTGCTCACCGTTTCGCGCGCATCGCGCGCGAAACGGTGATGCTTTGAAAGCATCGTAAGCCGTTTTGCGCATTTCGCGCGCAACTGTAAACATTGCAGATATTGTAAACCACTTCGCGCGCTTCGCGCGCGATTGTAAATCTTGAAAATCGCTTCGCGCGAGAAACGGTTTACAATCCATTCTGGAATCGTGATCTCGCCTCAATGCCAGCTGCGCTTTTGTTCTGTAAGGCCCTGGTCCCTTGTAAAAAATACACTCTGAGTGCATCTTTTACTCAGTGCACCTGAATGTCACTCCGGTGCACATGGCCGTGCTCGCACCCAGTCCCCTGCAGCCGACCTCCTTCTCGACACGCCTCTTCACCTCTGCTGTCATTAGGGTGCTTTGCCGAGGCAACTGTTGCCACACGGTGTCCCTGGAAGTCCCGGCCCGTTCCTTGGGCCCGGCTTCTCCTCCCGGGCCCTCTCTTGAATAAAACAGGGCTAGGATCGGGATAAATCGCTCCCTTGAATAAAACAGGGCTAGGATCGGGATAAATCGCTCCAGAGCGTTCTGGAGCGCTCTCAGAGCGTTCCGGAACGCTCTGGAGCGGCCGCGGCGCCCAATCCGTCCTCCAAACCCGCCGATCCTGAGAGATTTCGAGCTATCCCGATCCGATGTTGTCCCGATCTTCGCGTCGCTTTATCCCGGGCCCTCTCTGGAAGGCCCCCGGGGCCCAACGAGGGACCCCGGAGGCCGAGAGCGGCCCGGCCAGAGACCTCCCGCCCTGATGTGGGCTCACGGCGCGAGCGCGTCCGGCGCTCTGCCTGCCGCCCACTGCCCGCCGCCGCTCCGAGGAGCAGGGCAGCGAGATCTGCGAGAGGAGCCCAGGGGCACACAAATCAACGCGAACACAAGTCTCAGGACTCCCCATCTGTTCCTACAGTATGTTCTGGGCTTTCGCCCTCCAACCTCCCCAGATTTTCCCATATCTTCCAGGGGGTCGACGAGGAACGGTGTCTGTGCTTTTCGTTCCCTCCTGACCTATACGCATCCGGTGCCCCAGGCCTGGCCCCTCCTGGGCCCAGGAGCGGCGCAGGTGCACCCCTGGCCAGGCCAGGAGGGCCTATACAGTCGGGGCGCTGTAGAAGGAACCCTTTTCGTTGGAGAGGGGCTTCGTGTTACTTAAGTGTTTCACAACTTGCCTCAGGTTTTCCTTATGCTTTCGATAGGAAAACGAAGTTCATTTATGGAAGAAAGGGGCCTCGTTCCTTATTTAGGGTTCCTTAGGTCAACGCCCCGACTGTGTACACCGCTCCTGGGCCCAGGATGGGGCAGGCCTGGGGCAGTGCACACGGTCGAGGTCGATTGGAGAGGACACGCGAGAAGACACGAGACCCTTCCAAGGGCCACGTTGCCACAGGAATGTACAGTCGGGGCGTTGCCCTAAGGAACCCTAGATAAGTAACGAGGTCCCTTTCTCCCAAAAGTTAAACTTCGATTCCTATGGAAAACCTTAGGGGAACCTAAGGCAAATTGCACAACAATCAACGAACACCGAGCCCCTCCCCAACGAAAAGGGTTCCTTCTTCAGGGCCCCGACTGTAGGAGGCATGGGTCGCCGAACACAGGACGCCAGAGCACCCCTGATTCGGCGGGGCCGGCC